TCTCACTCTGTTGCCCTTGGTAGAGTGCTGTGGCATCACAGCTCACAGCAACCTCAAACTCCTGGGCTCAAGCAATTCTCTTGCCTCAGCCTCCCAACCAGCTGGAACCATAGGTGCCCACTACAACGTCTGATTATCTTTCTGTTGCAGTTGTAATCATTGTCTAGCTGGCCTGGGCCAGGTTTGGGTATCAATTCTTTCAAAGAAATGACATTTAAGACCCATCATTCTCTCTTGTATCCAATACCTGTTGTATCTAATGTCTAATGTGGTTTGTCTCTTCTTTTAGTTTATATTTCAATGGTCCCAGTGTCTCTTTGCCTTCAATATCTTCCCCTCTTTACTCTAGTGAAAGCTCTATGAAGTACTGTACCTGGTGAAAGTCAGATTAAAAGCTTCTGGCACACCAGGAAATTAAAAAAAAAAAAAAAAGCAAAGAAAGCCCCTGACAGTATCTTTCTGCCCCAGAGGCATTCCACAATCTGAAATCAACTTTCCCCATTCAGTAAGGCCAATCTCCCCAACATCTCTCAAATATGCCAAGAATTAGTCCCTTTGATGATTCTGTGCTCCCCCTTACGTCATAACATGTCCCCAAAGTCAAGTCACCTAGCTCTTACTAGCTGATCAATTCACTAAATTCTTTGGCCTCTATTATGATTACCAGCTGTTGAATAATTCTCTAATGAGACAGCTCCTGCCACACAATAATTCCAGTGAGCAGTCCTGCTGTCCCAGGCAGCTTCTTTGAAGTTAAGACTATTTAGCACACATTGTTACAAGAATAGTAGGCATGCAAATGATGAATAAAATAGCAAAATCAAAAATATTTTGTAATGCAAAATAATTACATTATTATTAATTATGGAATAAAAATACTATCATCTGATTTATCAGGCAAATTTTTAATCTTTCAAATAGTTTCCAATGAAATAAGCTGATGTTGGCATATCCAAAAAAGAATGCAAATTATGACCTCATACATGGAGACAAACTGTTTGCAAAAATACCTTAAGAAGTTCAAGCCCTGAACGAATAGCTGTGTCTGGACTTACACCCTCCTCTTCATCATCTGCAGTCCCCTCTATTGATTTATTCATCAATTTTACTAGTGCACTGTCAAAAGAAGAGAACATAAATCAGTAAACTACTAGATCAATAACTATATTCTAATTGCACTATGACATATACTGACATATGATTAAAAGATCCCAAAGAAGTTTCTGTGGGGAAAAAGTTAAAACTTTGTCTTCTGTTTAACAACAGAGTTTCCTTTTAGTTTATCCCCATAAAAAATTTAATGTATTATAATAACAAAAAAATAACCAAAGAAAGATACAACATACTGGTTATTTATGTAAGTATAAGTAAGTTAATATTTATTTCCATATATAAAGAGATCATTTTCAGTTTGCTAAGTGGGCAAATGACAACTCACTCAAAACCAAATATATTACACACATACACGGGCAACTATATTAAATTAATCATGGGCAATTTACTGATTAGCATTTTTTTTTTTTTTTTTTTTTTTGGGTGAGACGGAGCCTCAAGCTATCACCCTGGGTAGACTGTCATGGCGTCATAGCTCGCAGCAACCTCAAACTCTTGGGCTTCAGTGATTCTCTTGCCTCAGACTCCCAAGTAGCTGGGACTAAAGGTGCCAGCCGCAACCTCTGGCTCTTTTTTGGTTGTACTTGTCGTTGTTTGGCAGGCCCAGGCTGGATCTGAACCTGCCAGCTCTGGTGTACGTGGCTGGCACCTTAGCCGCTTGAGCTACAGGCACCACCTAGTAATTTTTTCTTTTTTTTTGAGACAGAGACTCATTCTCTTGACCAAGCTAGAGTGCCATGGCATCTTTCTAGCTCACAGCAACCTCGAACTCTTAGGTTCAAAGCAATCCTCCTGCCTCAGCCTCCCAAGTAGCTGGGACTACAGACACCATAATGCTTGGCTAATTTTATTCATTCATTCATTTATTGGGACAGAGTCTCACTCTGTTGCCAGGAGGGGTCAGTCTAGCTCACAATAACTCCTGTACTCTTTTTTTTTTTTTTTTTTTTGAGACAGAGCCTCAAGCTGTCCC